AAAGTGAAAACAGTTATTATTAAAAGGCACAAGGAGTTCCGGTGTTGAAGATAAGTTTGTAAAAAGAAAACTTTTTTAATTCACTTGTGTATTTTGCGCTCTTAAGTACATAAGAAGCAAAGAGTTTTACAACGAAATAACGTCACCTTAAAAATCAGCAAATACGCTGCTCACGAAAGAGTGTAAAAAAGATAAAAAAGAGAAGAAAACAGCCCACGTACGACCGGTGCTATTTTTGTCATTTTTGTGTAGGGAGAGGTTTCTCGTCATCGACTTTTCTGTTCGTTTTAATCTAAAAATAATTACCCTAATTTGGAAAATGCGCTAACAAAAATAGGGCTTTATTAACATTTTAAGAAAGGTTCAAATATGTGAGCAAATGTACTGCTTTGTAGAACAACGTTTTGTTTTTCGTTTTATTTGATTTCACAAAGTACATACCATACATATCTACACACGTTTATCGTTCTTTTAAGCTCATATGTGTCATGGAAATATAGTTCTTGGAATTATCATTTCATGTCAAAAAACAATTTACTACAAATATGACCTCCAATTTACAATTATAGGTTCACATAAAAAAAGTTATTTTTGGATGCATGAGTAACGCTTAAGAGTAGTTAGTTAATAATTTTTGTTTTACTTTATTACACGTTGATACTCCAAAAAATGTCAATCATTCTAGAGATTTTTGGATAGATTATGTTCAAACAGTTATGTGAAAGATTTTAAACTTTCAGATAAATAATTTTAAAAAGATATATGTTTATGGTGACAGATACTGTTATAATAAATTTTTCAATTACTTCACCCCCATTAAAATGTTCGTCAGTAAAAAAAAACTTACTAATGAAGCACTTCCTATAAATCGTTTGATAATTGAGAGACAAAATGTTTATTTTATAAATTTTCAGGTGAACATAAGTCATTTTAATGCTAATATACGTGATGGTAATACTTTATTCATAAATTAGTTAAATAAATGTATCTCTGTAACACATTTTTTTTCTAAATCTTCGGATTTCTTACGATATCTCAAAAACTGAAATAAAAACAGTTATTTTATTGTTTTTTTTATATCTGCGCAAAATTTCGTAAATTAAAAAGAACCTTTCATCAAAATTTCACCAATGAGATAGTTCCTTCATTATATATTATCAGTAAGGAACACATGCGGTTTTTTCTGCTGTATGTTGCTGGTTTATTAATTTAATTTTTTGAAAATCGGTTGTTAAAAAAGCTTTTATTATAATAAAAACCATTATACCAGTGGTGTGCTTTTGAAAAACCCGCTTAAACGTCCGTCGTTTTTACACAATTCTGAAAACTAATTACTGAAAGTGAAGTCATTGTTTATTTATAATACATAAATATCTTACCGCAAGTGAACAGTAATGATTTAAAATATTCAATTGTTTAGAGGTCATAATTCAGGTTGGGTTGAATTAAAATCAAATTCATGTTAGAAACAGTTAACTAGGTCACACCATTTATTGACCGCACGAAGTCTACAGTCACGTTATATTGCCACTGATCATTAATTTATTACCCACACAATTATCTTATCTAGGTTTGCATTCTGCTTATTTGTTGTTGTTGTTGTCGTCAAAAGAACGTATATTAGTTGTGTATATTTATTTTTTAATTTGGCAGCAAACCTAGTGTTAATATGAAATTCTGGACACCTGTATATTATTTATTAAAAGATTGGACAGTGTCTTTAGTCTAAAAACTTTTAAACCAGTCTTAAGAACTTATTTAGTCCATAGTAAAATGTTATTTTTTGGGAAAATCGTGAGAAACAATCGAAAAAATAGCTTAAATTAAAAAAGAAAACAGATCGCTGTATTGGAATAATAGTAGGTGCCAATGTAACAGATCATTTGTAATTTTTACTAGATAACGCTTAAAGTGTAAATCTGTCTGCCGTCTGTCTGTCTGCGTGCCTGTCGGTCGTCTGTCTGTCTGTCGTTTGTATCGATTTTTATCAGATAACCTACCAGATCAATCGTTGGTAAAACGTTAACTTAAATTTATCTAGTCAACATTGATTTTATAATTTTTCAACGAAGCTGAATTGGTTGGACTGTACTTCAGAGGCTAAAGAAATTCTGTCGGTATAACCTTAGACCATTTTTTAAGACTTGTTGCACGAGCTTTAAAAATAATTATTTTAAGCAAATTGCTTATTCACTTAATGTTAAAGTGGTATCTGTATGTAATAAAGATAAACGTCCCCCACGAATTCCATCCCACTTGTAACGACTTATCAAAAAGTGTTCAGACTAAGATAGACTATGGAAATATTTTTTATTTCTTTGATTAAAGCAGTAAGCCCTACAAATATCAATGTCAACAAATCGAAGCCACAACGCAAATGATATACGGTTGGAAGTTGGAACAACGAATGAATAAACTTTTTGCCGTCATTGAATCGTCCTTTGCAGTGTTCGGCAACCCGTCATTCGTGAGTCAGAAAACAAACATTCAAAATTTAATTTGGCAAGTTTGAATTTTGGGTTTCATCAAAGAAATGAAAAATATTTCCATAACCTACGTTAATCGAAAAACTTTTTGAATACACATTGTCGGGAATGTTCAAAACACAAATGTTTCGATTTTTTCTCACGGCTGCGAATGTTATAATGCAAGGGTTTTCTAAAGAATAAAATTTATATGTTTTAATTTTTGTATATTTACACAAGAAATACATTTTTACGTTTTGTTAATAAATTGTTGTCAACTCAAATATATCAAAAATATGCATTAACTGAAATGACTTAGTGTTTTATCTAAGTTAAAGAAAAAGTAATAATGTATAAAAAAAATTCAATAAGTATACATACTCAAATAATTTTAATCAAATCAAATTTTATCAGCAGGTTTTTTTTCTTTCTTTTTTTTTAATTTTGGTCATTGAATCATTTCATATATTTTTCTTTTTTAGTGTTATTTTCTTTAATTTTCACATTGTTTTTGTTGAACTTAAATATTATATTTTTCTGTAATTGTATGTAAACCTCTACGGAAATAAACTATTATTATTATTTTGTGACGTCGGATTTCAAAAAAGGACGACCAGAAAATTTATGGAAAAAGCAAACTGGCGTTACTATGAACTGATACATCTAGTTATTAAAATTCAACTACATGTAACAGTAAAGAATTATATGTACAAGGATTCAAACTGACATAAAAGTGATATAATTGAATACATTTTTTTAAGTGACTTGATTGAAAAATACGGTTTGATTCTATTTTGTGGCAAATTCTACTGAACTGATTTATTCCTCAATAGTTAGAGTCATAATAAAAAAAAAACGATTTATTCAAAGTTTACGTGTAGAAGCAATAACAGAGCAAAAACACTACGCAGCATGATAACATTATTATGACTTTTTTCATTTTGGAACCTGTCCGGTTATGTTTGTTTAGTTTAACCAGATTTAGTAAAAAAATAAATGAACAGTTTTTAAAACAGGAATTTAATTTTAGAAAAAACATCGAGAAAAATATTTGAGAATAACAGTCGATTTTGTAACGCTTTCTACCGAGCGAACAATGAAAAACACAATAAACGACATCCATGGATTTTTGAAGACTTGTCTTTGATAAAATTTTCATTTTACAGATTAGGAACCGTCCATTTGAAAGTCTAAGTTGAAAATGCAACGATCAAAGACAATTTTTCAAAAATGTATGGCTGCCTTTGGTCGTGTTTTTTTTATTGTTCTCGGTAGTATTTGTAATGGTTTTCAAGTTAAATAATTAAGTGGCGCAAGATCTGCTCGTAACATGACATCCATCTAACGCGGGGTGTGAGACGTAGAAAAAAATTCATAAAAAATCAGTGCGATAAAAAATTGGCAACAACTCCTAAATCTAAATTTTACATCTTACTAAGGGCGGTAAAAATTTTAACTTTTAACGCACCCGATTTCGGTACACGCCGAAGTTCTAATATGAAACGAATGTTATATAGATTCTTGTATTGGTTTAGACTTGATGTGCTACAATTCTTGAAAAGTAAAAATTTTGTCGTGTCAATTTATGCCAGACATTTACTTCTCAAACTTTTAACTCAACAAAAACATTCCTTCTTTGTAAGCAAAGATACGTCTCATATTTGTAGTACGGGGGTTCACAAAATTCTTAAACTGATTATTTTTTCGCATGATTTTATGTACACTTAATCAGTTTTTTGGCAGTACATTCGGGGGCAAATTCAAAAGGGTGTCATTACTAAAAAAGATGACGACTCATCATTCAATTTAATCCGTTTGATTTTTTTTCTCGAAGTGATCAGACAAAACATCAAAGTAAGGTTCATATTTGAATTTATATTGTAATACGAGAAAAAAATTACTAAAACATTTAATTTTTACATATTTTACGTAGCTTATTGTCGCTTTATAGTAATTGAAAATTATGTTTGTTTTTTATTGAACTAATGTTGTGTACACAAACACACCATGATATATCAGGTTATGTTAGAATAGATGCAGTGGTCACGTGAAAGCCGCATGAATAGACGTTGCCAAAGCCCTATTGATTTTACACTAGTAAAATCAGGAGAAGCACGAAAACTATCCACCTATTCAAAATAATAACTCTGCGTGAAATTTAACTTGTTCGTTTGTTGCAATAAAGTGACAAATCCTAGGCTTCAATTGAATTCAAATCACCAATATCACAAATACACATCTCCGCTTAGCAACAACAAGAATGTCCTCTAAAAGTGGCTTCAAGACAAGTGTTTGCTAACCAATAGGAATAATAGGCTGGTTGTTCACGCCTTAATCACCTGCTTTTTACTATCTGTATTTTAAAATCTAATAAACTAAGTAAATAGCTGTGAATAGTCCTAATTATTACTTGTAAAAAACTTGCACTTCTTTACCTGTAGCTAGAAATCATCATTGCACAACAATTTCAAAACACAGTTTTGTAGCAAACGTTTATCATTAATTTTTAGTATTTATCACTGAAAATTTTTGCAGTGCGACAATCATATTATGGCACCAGGAACCCTAGCGCGTCTAACCTGTGAATGGCCAGATCTTGTCGTAGGCGAAGTGGTTACCATAATACGTTATGACACATCTCATGGCTACTTGGTTCACACACAAACAAGTTCAAACGAAATCTGGCTACCTCCCCATGTCTTATCAAATTATAACCGAAAAGCGTGGACATTTCGCTTTAAAAAACACGCAAGAAGACCCCCCGATGGTTTACCGCACGACAACATCATTCACGAAACTCCTCCCGTACCAGAATTCCGCGACAAACTAAAAGACGTTACCGTACAGTGTGGTACCAAAGTAGTCCTAAAATGCCGAATCAAGCACTGCGGTCAGAACCCAAAAGTTAAGTGGAAAAAACTGGAACCGAACTTGTGCATTCTACGAAATGAGCGTTTTATGTTTGGCCAGGAAGACGAGGGCGTCGCGATGTTGGTCATAGATAACGCCAAATTATCAGATTCAGGAACGTACAGCGTTACAGTGTCCAATGAAGCTGGAACGTGCCAATGTTCGGCCGTTTTGACCGTCACTGACCCGTACCCGGCCTTGCAAGAACCGAGAATACAGGTTATTTCCTGTTCTAGTGTGTTGTTAGAATGGGAAAGTGACTTCTATCAGCAATTCTGGGTAGAATATTGCCAGTTGGGCACGGGAGAATGGCTTTCACCGAACGATAATGGCGTTATCAATTCGCAGACATACACAGTGGAGCATTTAATTCCTGGAGAGACGTATAGTTTTAGAATAATCGCTGTCCAGAACAAATTGGTCAGTCTACCAAGCGTAGCTGTGACCTTGCCGGTAGCAGATACTTTGAGATGGCAGCAGGAACAGTTCAGGAATCGCTACATCGAATTAGAGGAAATAAGCAGGGGACGTTTTTCCGTCGTTCGACGAGCCAAAGATAGAGGCACCAACGTGGAAGTTGCTCTCAAACAAGTGACCAGGAGGAGGCAGGCTCAGCATATCACCCAATGCGAGTATAGCCTCCTTGCAGGAATGCAGCATGTGAACATTATACGATCGATGGCACTGTTCGACAACGCGCCACTACCTGGATTAGACACCATAGTACTGGAATTGTAAGTTTTTAATTTTTTTTTTTGATACTCGTTAAAGATTGCTTTGTTGTTTATAATTTCTTATTTTAATGTACAGAGTCAGAGGACCATTACTATTCACTTTTATCTGCGAGCATGACGAGTACACAGAGGACACCGTTAAAACGTATAGTCGCCAGTTAATGTCTGCTTTATCGTGGCTCCATCAGAAAGACATCTCGCACTTGGATATTAAGGTGAGCACTTGTATTTATTGCTTAGAAGATACTTCGTACTTCGAATCACGTCTGACTATAAGCTTCCGCAGAAAATGGAATGTTGCAATCACGCGCCAGTGGTCAATTTCATGTTTCAAATCCCAGACCGAATACACAGCGGTGTAATTATTTTACCCACACCATAAACATTATATTGTAGCATTTAACGTTTAATACTTAAGTGTACTCTCCGTCAAAAATAATATTAAGCGTGAACCCACAAAAGTTTCGCCATTAGATTTTGATTACTTATTGATTATTATTATCAGAGTACACAAACAGAATTTTAAACACGCTGCACGAAATCATAAATGGGGAAAAAATTGCTGCATTTCTTGTTATAACAACAACATAATTTAATTTAAAAATACTCAAAACAATAATTATTATCGACTACAAAACCGAAAGGAGGAGAGAAACTGAAAGAATAATTTTATACCACGTTTCATTTTTGTGTTGTTTCAGTGTTACATATTTCAAATACCAAAGAGCCAAAAGTACAGCTTTACAGATAGTCTTATTTTTGAGAAACACTATTTCCTGTGATCCACCTCTTTGATACTATACTATCACAAAGTAGGTACAGTAAACACAATATATTTTTATTTCATTAGGGTCCATTCGACGAATTTCATGTTAACTTATAAACCATGAAAAAGTAGGTCCTGTTTCCATATCTCTGTCATTTGGTATACATAATATCCACTCACAACCACTTTACAGATTATGAAATTCGAGTTGAATTTTAAGAATATCCTCTAGATGATAGACCGATAACCATAATTTGCCCACCGAGCTACTTTTCTCAACGTTTCAGGACCTCTAGAGTACGAAAAAAGTGGTTTCCCCTTTCCGTCTGTCTGTCTCGATTTTTATTAGACAGATAATCTCCGAAACTACTGGACCGATTGTTGTCAAGTTTTGTATGTATACTAGGAATATCTTAAAGTGATAAAACATTAGACTAACCAAAATTTGGCTAATCATCCCCATCAACAATTTAATGACGTCCGTTCATTATATTGCATAATTAAGATTACCAAAATTATGTTTTGGGCAGATCATGGCCAACTCAATCTAACTCCGCTGCGCTGCGAAGCGAAGTGTCAATGGAGTTGGCCATGGGGCAGATAAACTCATTCAAATCAAACTAATTAAATTTGTACGTGACATTCTTTAGATATATACATGAATACTCGAAATTAAGCGTGTTGTTACTGCTGAGAGGACATTTTTCCCTTTGGCTTCAGATTTAAATATATTTTATATTGTCGGTAGTTGTGTTGTGTCCCCTGGGGCGTTTACTTTATAGAGCTTACCACAAAACAAAAATCGCAAAATCAAATGTTATATGTAATTTTTCAAAGAAGCGGAATTTAAAAGGATTACAAACGCTTCACTTTAAAATTGATTCGTGTACACAATTTACTACACTTCTGCAACTGAATTTTTGGAAAAGACTTAAAAATAGTGTAATAACAATTTTGTAACTAGTTGATCTTAGAAACCACACAGTCTATTATAATAAATAATTAATTGAGCGCCCTATAACAGAGATGCCGTATTGAAATTTAGATGTGGCCCGCTTCTCTGATTACGATTTTACGTTTCATTAATTTCTTTTTCATGATGGCTGTAAATGGTTGTAAAATTCAACGTTATTAGAAAACGCTAATATATGTACATTTAATTTTTTTACAAAAAAATTAAACAGTAAGCAATGGTCCTATGAAAACGTGAACAACGCTTTTTTTTCTGTGAAAATTACACTTAACTGTAATAATTACACCGGAAGATCAGCCTTAAATCATCAAAACAAATGCAACTAAACTGCCAAATTTCAAATATTTCACATTAAAGTCACTAGACAACCAAAGTACCGCAGTTCAATGTCCCAGTGTGTAAGAAAGAGAAGTACCTATAGCCCCTAGAAAATACATAGTATCGTCACCGTGGAGCAAACCTGGCGGAAACTTAACAAAAACAAAAATTATAAACACCATTTGACAGACCGCGAAATTTAAAATGGTTTTATGTTGGATTTAAAGTTTGTAGTTTATATACAAAATATGGAGTTTTAATTTGAATAAAATATAAAATTTAATCAATAAAATCTTATTTAATAATTATTAGTTATATTAATTGACAATTAATTGACTTTAAAGAAAAAGACCACGTGACAACAACCGTTTACGCGCTGTCAACTCTCTGCTGACACAATTTGGTTCCAAACCAGGGGAATTTTTTGCGTTACCAACTGCATTTGCTCCACTCGTACAACAATGGATGACGGTAGAGTTCCCTCAAACATATTTGGCGTTTATGACTTCACACCAATTTGACTCCCATTATAATTCAATAGGCCGTCACAATCGGATGTCTTAAATCCGCTCACCGATACCTACCTGAAAAGACCTTTTCTGGTAAAAACACAGGGCAGGACTGAGTTTTGCATTTACCGACAACTGCGCCTTTCGATTTTTTTATTTTAAGTAAAAACAAAGTAACTTTGTACTCAATCACTTTTTATTACTGCAAATTAGTTAGAATTTTGATATACACAACTATTTACTTATTAACACTACTTATTAACTGCTTATTTACTGATCGAAATAGTCACTGTCATCATCACTCGACTCTTCTAAATTAACAGTTAACGCTTTTATCAACCGTGTCCTGTACTGGTCTTTTCCTGAATTTATTCTTCAAGAAGGCACTGTGTTTTGTAGCTTCTGCTACAAACCGCATTTCTATTTACAAAATATGTTTTCGGATCATCGGCAAAATTTTTTGCTACAATATTTCCAAAAGTATTTAAAAATAAATTGCTACAAAAATACTAATTAAATGGTCTATTATTATTAATTTTTATTTATTTTTCACTATTTACTGTAAGACAATAATTTTTAAAAATTTTATTTATCTATGTATTTTTTATTAAAAAAATTAAGCTTGATAAACCTGTTTTTATAATTTGTAAATAAATTTAGTTGTGTTATTACACTTCTTTTCAATTTTTGGAGGATATGCAACTGCATATCTCTGCATATATTAATAAAGTTACAGCATATTTGCATAAATTTCATGCATATTACATGATCATATTTCTCAAAATTTTGCTGCATACTTTTCGCTCTCTAGTCATGTATTATTTTTAATATAACAGCAATATGAATGTACCCTCTGGATTTGAAACAAAGGCCGGTGACATCGTCAAAATTATTTGATTTATCAAAAAACTTTGTGGACCAGTTTTCTATGATTGCGATCGTACTTATTAAAGATTTTATGTTTTTTGCTTTCATTATCTTAATAATATTTTCAAATGTGCAGAATAATGATTAAATAATTAAGGTACGGAAGAAACAAAATTACTCTTAGTTCGCGTCTCGGCCGTCCCTGGCACGTGGCATGGTTTACATTTACTAAGCTTTATGAAGGGTCGGCTGTAAAGGACTTTAAACGTCAAAGCCATAAACGCCTTATAGGTTTGAGGAAACTATACTATGTATTTCTAGGGACTATAGAAGTACCTTGCGTTGCGCGCCCTCATACGGTCACAAGACAAACGACCACCCATGAAAACGGGTCAGTAAAAATAGCGAGTGGTCTCTACTGATTGATATCTATACTGTGGTTGAGCCTTACGAAATTGAATAGGCAACACACAATACGTTTTCAGAGCTATCGATGATGTTGACAAAAAACTGTTTGATTTTTGAATAAATAAAAATAAATCTTAATGTGTTATTTCCATCAGTTAATAATCTTTCGTATTTAAGCTAGAGCAATAACCTTAAGGTTTCTTGATATTTTTCACAAAATTTACAAAGCTTTACTATGTTTCATGTAGAATGTATGTGTGGGTGTTTTTTGGTCAACATCATTAAATCAAATCGCTCTGAAAACGTATTGTGTGTTGCCTGCTCAGTTTCGTAAAGCTGTCCATTCTATACTTTCATCATATGGACTATATATTTTGTCCACTATCCATGTGCAGTCTTTCGTAATATAAAAAACATTATAAATTGCATGCTCCCAAAATCAACTGACTCATGTAAACCTTTAAGTTCAAATTAGTGAAGATATTACCAATCTTGTTTATTTATTAAATATTAAATCGTTTAATTAGAATTCATCAGTTCATTCCTTCCAAAAACTTAATCTCATCATTTTCTTAAGGACATATCGTCTAAATCAATACGAAGTGGTTGTTAGCATTCTCTTGGAATTCATGTTTAGCTTATTTTAAGTATACATATAAGTCATTTAACGGTGCGTAGCATTTACAGAAATATATACTCTTTAACTAACAACTACTGTTTAAAGCAATTATCACAATTACCGATTACTGTCAGGTCGTAACTGTAAAAAGTAGAATACGAGAAAATAACTTTCAGATTCACAATTTTTCAAAAAGAGAATTGCATTTGTCATGATACCACCAACAAAAACATTTTTTTATTGTTCAAACTTGACCCTGTTAAAGTACCTTCAATCAAATAATTACTAAGGGGAAGTTCACTTCGATTTTGGAAACCATGCTTTCAAAATTTTGAACAAAATTACAGTAGTTGTATGATCATGATTCATGACATTCTGAATTGTCCTCAATTCTTGATTTTCTTTGCCTATCTTTGCAGAAAGCGGTCTAATATGTATGTTAGCTGTACTATAAGCGTTTCTTGGTTATTTTCTAGACAGATCTTTTTCAAATGTGACTTAAATGTAAAGTATCAGATTTTTTTAATGAAATTTTGAATATATAAACAATAAGAACGCCGATTAACATTTAAAAATCCATCCTGAATCAAAAGTCGCAACAACTGAAAGATTTTATTGCCGGAAGATCAAAGTCTCTTGTATGTTTGTGATGATTTATTCATAATTTCACACGCAAAAATGGGTATCATCCGGTTTCATTTTTGTGGTCAACTTCGTGAAAATTAAAAACTAAAGTGTACAGAGTAAGCGTAAAAAAATGCGGGAGCCCTGTCCCTAGTATCAGATATATTAAGCGGATTTTAAAAATAAATGACTTTTTTTTAGTATTTCGTTTTGTTATTAAGTTTTTGTTTTGCCGTTCTTGACAATTTAATGTGACATCTAACTCAGTACTGGAAATAATAATAACATCAGACGATCACCAGATAGTTTCTCACGCAGCACGCACATTTATTTTTTATTCGTTCGTGTTCTGAAATAAGAATAACGAGGGATAATATAATTGAAACGCGACAAATTTGTTTAATTGCATTCATATGGGGCAATTGAAGATATTTTAACAAATAATCTTCAAGCTCCCATTTCCCCCAATAGCGTGTACGCAAGGTTGATACAACTTTTGTCGATTAGAGGGTGTAGTTCTAATATTGTAAATAATACAAACTTGAAAATGCCATCAAAATCACTTTAAAAACTGTACGGAATAGTTCGTGTAATATTTTTTATGCCAAAGAAGAAATCATGTTTTGTTTTCTTGGCACTTTACAGCTCAGAATACGTCTACTACTTCTTTCGATGTTGTATATATACATAGATAATAGATACATTAGCATTAGGATCACGATAGGGCTGGGATAAATCTAATGAAAATTTTGGGACGAAATTTCGAGTCCGTAAATGTACAGAGTTTTTATAAATATTTCTTACATCGTAGGTGACTTAAAAAAAATTGGTCAAAATTTATTTAGCCAAAACTTCTCTCAAATGTACAGCAAATCCAGCTTTTTCGAAATATAAGATTTGATTTAGCGAATTTTATTCTTTTATGATAATCCTTATATACAGGGTTTCTATAAATGATTATAGGGTCGAAGTACGTCATGGAAGCGTACCGCCTATCACTTATGTGTATTTTACTAAATGCCCAAAGACACACGACAAATTTCACACGCATCTATATAACTGGGGGCCTAAATGCTTCATATCTTATGTTTTTAAAAAATAAAACTTACGATAAAAATAAATAAATTTATTGTGCTTAAACATAACAGTAAATGTTGAAAATATTCACCATATTGTTCTCAAGGCACATGTTCCCTCTCTTTTTCTTATTTTCAAAGATGTTCTTTAATATCCTTTCGTTAATGCTTCTTCAGTTTCCTGACTGCAATCTTGTGAAAAATGTTTACGGATTCTGCTCGAGCCATTGTCTCAAATCATCAACAATTACCTCAGATACTGAAGGTCTTCTAGGAGATTTCCCTTTGTTGACACTGCCAGTTCGAACAAATCTGTTGATTACAATTGTATTGCTGAGGCGTTTATTTGTTTAAACTCCATGTTCACTAAATTAAGAAAAGTAAACACTTCGCCAATTTAAATTAATATATGGACAGAACCCTCCTATCTATACTTATTTTGGTACACAGTACCATGGTACAAGAAGACATGCCATGATATTAATAATTAACTTATGTAGTGAGTTTTTAGTTCGGAACGATATTTTATAGCCTTCTTTTTATAGTAATTTTGAAATTTTAACAGACGGTTTCCCAAAATACGTTAAATTATTGTATTGTAGTGTTTTTTTTTAACTATTGGATATATTAGTCATGAGAAAATTTTTTGTTGTTTCTTTTTAAGCATTATTATTTTGATTCTATTAAGTTCTACGTGAAAATCAGTATTTGATAACGGTATTGTCAACCGTAGGTTACATGTGACATTAACAAGTAAGAACTGTCATAATGAGGCATAATTTCAGCGAAGCGGGATTTTTGAAATCCATGGCCAACTACGCCCTTACAAAATCATTTATAAAACCCTGTACTAATAATAACAATACCATATTCCCAATTGTAAAAAAAGACATCGGCTCATTCATTAATTTTTTGAGGTTTTTTGTATAAATAATTCTAAAAACTGAGTGCACTGATAAATCACATTCACAAGTATAGATTCATCATATTTTGGTTATTTCAGAGGGGATTTATTCGGCAAAGTTTGAGATGACGTAATCAATTTTTTAAGAGGGGATCAACAAATAAATATTTAATAACGATTTACCATGCTTACGATAATCTTAAGACGTTTGCAAGATTTCAGAGAATTCGGTTTTTTTTTTTTTTTTTCAAAATCTGTTTAGAGGAAAAAATCAAGACAGATTCGCTAAGCACAAATGTAGGAGTATGTTATTTTACAAAATTTAAATTACATTTACTATGCAAAATTTTAAGGTGAGGTCACCACATTGTTGGTGGGATAATTAGATACATTTTGGGTAACGTTTTACCATCTACACGATATTCCCCGACAATCAATACGGTGGTTTCGGAGATTATTTATACATACAATAAAAATCGACATAGACGACAGACAGTTTCGAAGGACGGAAACGTGAGACCTATTTTTTTCATATTCTAGGAGTCATGAAATGTGGAGAAAACATGAAAGCTTACGTTGTGAAAGCAAAAAAAATATATATTATTCTATGGAAATAAAACAGTGCATCAAAAACTGTATAACAAACTTAAAATATATATTTGTAGGACCCTGACGATAATTCACAAATAACTTTTTCATTACTTCTATACAAGGGCCTTAAGTTGCCTAGAAATAGTATAGTAAATAGTTAAAGAGGATGCAAAAATACGGCTGACTGTAATCTTTTGAATTATCTTTACTATTACCTCCATTAATAACATTTTTTTTGCGAATTGAACATCCTAACTTCATAATATAAACATAATAATGTTTCCTCAATTTCAGCCTGAAAATGTGATGGTGGATTTATCAAGTTCCTCCCCTGTTTTGAAGTTAGTAGATTTCGGTGATTCAGTGAACACTTCCAAAAGCGTCATATTGCCACCGGCTTGTTTGGAATTTGCTTCGCCTGAACTGGTGCTGGGCCAGCCGGTCGGAAAACACACTGACTACTGGGCGACCGGCGTATTTCTCTACGTCCTTCTCAGTGGAGTTTCCCCATTCCTGGATGATTCAATGGAGGAGACAACTGCCAACATTCTGAAATGTGATTATTGTTTTCCCGATGATTATTTCAGAGAAATTTCTGTTGAAGCCAAAGATCTTGTTCGTAAATTATTAGCACTTGTCCCGTCGCAGAGGAATAGCATGGATCAGAGTCTTACATCCGCTTGGATGACCACAGTAAGTTATAATTTTAATGAGCATTAACGACTCCTACTAAATATTTATTTAATAATTTATAGGAACAAAAGTCGGTGGTTATACCTTCCAATCGATTGAAAACGTTCATGCTTCGTAGACATCCCATAAACTTACCCACTACACCCACTAGTCCAGCTAATTCTGAACCAAATACTTATAAAAGTTATATATAATTGACGGAAGTGATCTGGATTAGTATACGGAATGTGATATCATTGTTAGTCGCGATCATATTTTAGAATTATTTCATTTACTTCATAGCATGTTTAGTGTTTTTTATATTAGTGTGATTGTTAATTTATTCATGTGTAAATATTATATTTTAACTACTATTATAACATCATTATTACAAATTTGTAAATAAAGAGACTGCTCAATTTTATTCGGACTGCGTGTTTATTTAATCTAAAAATCATATTTGTTTTGTTACAAATGCATTACATTCTACGTCCCACCTTTTCAAAATATTTTATATTACGTAACTTAATAGTCGGTTGTTTCAATTTTTGATTTATTGTGTCACTAGGAGTGGTCAGGAGATTCTCAGATAACGGAGACTCTTAATTCTAAACTTATCAGATGTGTCGAATTTCATGAGACAGACAGGAAAATGTGTTTTACCACACATTAGGTGGGTTGTGTAAATAAGGTGCGGTCAACAAGAAACGTTGTCAAAATATCTCTGGACTATCATGTCTCATCTTTGTCATGGTTTACTACTCGCAAAAATAGCAAACTGATTACTACAATTGAAGATTTTTTTAAATATGTCCAATCTTCATGATTTGGTAATATAGACAATATGAATTTTGCCATCTCGTGTTTTTTCGGAACTACTCGTCGCCGATCACATTTTTACAGTATGAGAGCAAAATGGGGATCCGTTTCAATATTTTGTTCTAGAAATACCTAACTGAATATAACCAACACATAACTTGCACAATATTCTTCCTTATGTTATTTTTAGATTGTAATAAATTGTTTGGTAATATAATAAAGAAGCGGCAAATTATTTTTAAAAATCTAGTGGCAGATTTTTCAAAAGCAACGTGACGTATAATCTTTTAGATTCACCTTGTGGATGTTTTATTAGTTAAGTAAATATGAACGAAATTTATGAAAAAATGTTGTCATTGTGATGATATATAATCAGCCTAAGTAGTCACAGTGATTGGAACAATTACTTTTGAAAAGTAATGCATTACTTTAACAATTACTTTTTGCACTTTGAAAAATTTGATAAAGACGCAATTTTAGATAGGGTCAAGAAATAATGTGTTAGAATGAAAAAGGCAGCGAGTGTCGGATTATGAGGGGTTTAAAAGGACGGGCTCTATCGGTTACCCGTTATAGATTTGAGTGGACCAGAAAAATGGCTAAAGTTTGTTTAACCACAAATTTTAAATATTCTGCCGCTGTTTACTCAATTATTTATTAAGACATTTTATTTCTGTTCTGTTCTGTTTCGCAATGGTTTTTTTAATACAATTTCTACTAACGAATCTTTTTGAAAATTTAAAATTGATCCATAAATAGTGAAAACCAGATAATCTCATACTCATCACAATTTTAACGCGGTGTATTTTTTTTTTTGCAGCAAAATTTTAAATACGGAAAAACAGTCTGGTTAGGGTTTTATACGCTCATTTAACGGTGTGAAGTTTATTACAATCGGACGTATACTTTTGGCAGAAGTTTATATGTATACAAACCACATTTGACATACACCTGTTAAAACTTTTATGACTTAAGTGGCTTAAGTCAAAGCACCCTTATAAGTCAAACTGGTTATTGTAAGCTTTGTGGACCCGAAGCGCAAGATTATTACTGTCCATTGTTGGCATAATGTAGCTGTGAACTGAGTTAAGTAATACAATAGCCAGTTTGACTTATAAGGGTGGTTTGGCTTAAGCCGCTTAAGTCATAAAAGTTTTAACAGGTGTATGTCAAATGAGGTTACAGTAACTGAATATAACCAACACATAACTTGCACAATATTCTTCCTTATGTTATTTTTAGATTGTAATAAATTGTTTGGTAATATAATATGTATGTCAAATGAGGTTACTTTACTTCCCTATGCTGGAATATGTTTTAGCTCACCCTTAAAATGATGGTTTCTTAACAAATTCTGTGCTAAACTCGTTTTAGGTTTTAACTCCGTACTGGGTTAATCTCCTCTTTGTGTGGACGAACCAGGTATAATAATCCCAGCAGATCAAGTAAACGATTCGTAAAAAAAAAAACAAAACAATACTCTTGTCTTAAAAAGTAATTGCAAAAGTAATTGTAAAAGCGACTGAATTACTCAAGAAAGTAATTCACTACAATTACTCATTACTTAAATGGAATTGAGTTACAGTAATGAATTACTTGTAACTGAATTACTTCCAGTGTGTATAGTAATCAATTCACGAAGGCAGGGACAGCACGTCGACCGTCGCAGCGAATCTTAACCAATTTCAGGCTTTTTTAAGGGTAAATTTTTTTGTATCGGGAGTTTTTAAGTATTAACACTTGTTTTTCATCAGGTTATTTATGAGAAAATTACAAAATTTTATGTAATGATGTATTAACGAAAAGTTGAACTTATTAGTGGCTTAAAATACCTAAATAAATGTTGTTATAATTTGAAAATAACGCTTTTTATGACACAGAATAAAAAATAATGACAATTTTTGGCACTGCCTTAAAAGATGCTATTTACTTTTTACAGTAGACAAATATACAAGAGTTTGTTTTTTTTTTCTGACAAAGATTCAAGGTTTTTACTCAAAAATGTTACGATTGAGTAAACGTAACCATGGAGAGGACGGATTAATATCCAAAGTCCTTAAGGTTTAAAGTACAGAAAAAGGAGATTATTCTGGTAATTAATTTAGCGCTACGCGAGTTAAATTTTAAAGCATTTCCCTTTACTGTTCTTATTCTATTGAAAATAATGAGAAACCGCCTAGCATAGAAAATTAGATTCGTCTGGGAAACCTCATTTTTTTGCTAAAAATCGTATTTAAAAAGACTTTTTTCAGCCATTTTAGTATATACATATGAAACACGAAAAATCTCACTAAATTGAAAAATTCCCGACGTAGTAAAAAAGAGAACGTATCGAATAAGTGAAGAATTGTCTACCTGTTAAACTAAAGTCACTCACCATAAACTCAAAACTACTTGTAGCAAATATCAATAGCCTGTGTATACGCAAAAAATAAGAAAAAGTCAAATTTGACTCAGAGATCAGCAATCTAAACATTCTGAGTCACAAAAAAAATGCAAATTTGTTAGAAATCGCATATCGACAAATTTCTAGTTGTGATCTATGCAACACCAAAGTCTCAGAATTTTGGGTCTCCCTTCCAAATAGCCTAAAGTGTACCCAAATCGCTTCAGGTTCGAAAGTTTTTTGTCAATTTCCAGAATTAAGTGTGACTGGAAAACCAGTCACAAACGAAAGCAAAAAAAATTATGTACTGGACGTTTTGACTAGAATTTGCAGGTAGATCCAAGCTACAACAAAAAATGTGTGTTCACCAAGTTCTTATTTTGAATAAATTTCATCTTGGAATCTTGCAACCTAATTATAAATGAAACATTAATTCTATAAAAAAAAAGGTTAAAACTTATTCAAAGTATAGTAAGCTCAGTTGACAAACTTTTACAGCCCCATTAAATATGACAGTAACGAACAGTGTGTAATCCTTGCGGTTCGGGCCCATACACCTAAATGGGCACACTCCATGATCGGTCGTATATAAACAGGGTCGTATTTAAAAGAGAAAACTGGATCGAATATAATGTCCATAATAAAAACGACAAGAATCTGGTATAGTTAAACATGCGTCTATTTACATACACACACCTGACCATTTGTAAAAAAAAAATAAGTACAATCTAACTAGTTAAAACGGGTTTAAGAGTAAAATAAAATTGTCATTAGTACAGTTCCATCACTTGAACAGTATTTAATAAAATTTTATTGGTACATATTTGAAAGTTAACCATGAAGGTTGGACCCACAATACCATAAATCAGAAATTCTAGCCCACTATACACTGGCGGCACGCTTCTTTTATTGGCGTCATTATCCCCCTGCATTGTTCGACAATTCCTCAGAGTAGCGGTTGTAAAATTTTACTAGGTACTGACGAAGTGTAGAAACTTTACATTAGTCTGGACATGCTCAACCTTCAATCTTCTCTCTACTTGAAAATTTGTTTGTTGCAGTTTACAGTACCAAGTTTGATTTATAAGGTTGGTTTGGCTTAAGTTATAAAAGTTTTACTAAGTTATTATTATTAGGTACATGTCAATTGAGCTTAGTGTAAGAACTCGATGAACACATAAATTTCGTTTTAGTTTGGACCTACCTGCAAATTCTGCTCTTGAGAGAATAAGGACTCCCAACCATGGGGACAGCCAAAATGGAAATGAAGTTTAAACATCAGTTTTAATAAATAAACCTAGGTTCATGGTCAGGCGCGGATCCAGGGGAGGAGCAATGGGTGCAAAATCGCATTTCATTTTGCAAATACAGTACAACCTCTTTAGTCCGAATTCACGATTATCTGAACATCCAGTAATCCGAACAGAGGCTATTTGAAGTCGATGCCTCTTTAATCCGAACAAAAACTCTGCAATCCGAACTGAACTTGAAAACATGCATCTATGTACTTCCAAAAATGACGCAAGATCTTTCTGCATTATGTTGTATGGAATATTTTGAAATTTTTATAAATTGCTATATTTCAATGCACTGAATTAATTAACTAACTCTGGAAAAAAGGATGAAGTTATCGGAGAAATGAGACCCGAAATCTACAAGAGACAGTATTTGGTTAAATTTTGAAAATCGTCGAAAATGGGTCGAAATTTGCATGAGAAAAATTTCATTTTTGAAAAAGTTTCCTAAAAATTCTTAAAAAATTCAGGGATATATACCCCCATCGTGCTGATTCCAAAAATATACCATGTTTATGGTAACGGAGCAATATTTTAGGAAAATTCGCTGTGAAATTTGAATTTTTCGAAATTTTTAAAAATTGCAATATTTCAACTGGACGATTCTGGAAAAATGGTTTAAGTTATTGAAGAAATGAAGCCAGAAGTGACTTCTAAGGCCCAAAATCTGCAAGAAAATATATTTAGTTAAATTTCGAAAATCGTCGAGCATGGGTCGAAATTTGCATAATGGAGGTAATACGAATACATAACGGAAAATTTCATTTTTGAAAAATTCATCTAAAAATTCTGAAAAAATTCAGGGTATAGATCCCGGGGTGCTGATTCCAAAAAAATAGCGTGTTTATGGTCACGGAGTCATATTTTTTTAGAATGTATCTATTATCCATTGTTGCTTAAGAATTCTTTAATTTTATTTAATAA